GGAAGGAAGGAAGGAAGGAAGGAAGGAAGGAAGGAAGGAAGGAAGGAAGGAGGGAGGGAGGGAGAGAGGACAGAGAAAGAGGGAGGCACAATGGAAGGAAGGAGGAAGGAAGGAAAAACAGAATGAGGGAGGAACAGAGGAAAGATAGAGAAGGAGGGAGGCACAAAAGAAGGAAGGAAGAAGGAAGGAAGGGAGGGAGGACAGAGAAAGAGGAAGGCACAATGGAAGGAAGGAGGAAGGAAGGAAGGACAGAGAAGGGGAGGCAAAAGGAAAGATAGAGAAGGAGGGAGGCACAAAGGAAGGAAGGAAAGATAACCACAGTTACTACTACAGTGGTTACCATGCACTAGACATTTAAAAGTTATAGATATGATGGAGGAAGTTTAAATGAGAATTCAGGGTAACACTTTGTTATTAACCTCAGGCAGAGCGAGCTGTACTGTACTGTATTGTTCTCAAACAAAACTGCTTTCATTCATCTTAGAAGAGTTTTCCCATTTGTCGTTGCAGGAATACAGATGCACACCGAGTTATTTGACAATTGCACCAAGAATAGTGAGTTTCCCTTCTCTTGTGGAGACCACCCACGGAAAGTTAGGTAGCCATTAGAAGGGCGAACATTTCATGCCAAGGAGAACCTTTGAGTGAGAAACAGCTGGTGGAAGGAAAAGTGGAATAATTCTGTCCACTCACCGCGGCCGCCTGAAGGCTAGGCCGTACAACTGGCAAGCCAATCCAACAGTCGGAGTGTACACTATTGGCATAAATCTTTCTATGTCAGATGTGAGCACCCGGTAAAACAGTTTCTCATTTCTGTCTTGCAGCGTCATGAGGATGATGTATCTGGAAAAAAAGGACAGAAGAAAAAGAAGAGATGAAAAGAGGAGTTGATACAAGCATTGTACTTTGAACAATCTGAAAAGGCTTCAACCAAGTCAATAAGAGTCTCTCATAGTTCCCCCACCACATGGGAGCTAATTAGGAATATGTGGTAACCAGGGGTGGGATTCTACCAGTTCGCAACTATTCACTAGAACCGGTTGTTAACATTCTAAGCAGTTCGGAGAACCGGTTGCTAGAAGAAATTACTGGGTTAATCCTGTAAGGAAGGCAGGAAGGAAACATTCTGGTGTTGCTTACAGAAACTGCCTCTCCGTTAACCCTTATTACATTCTTGGCAGGACTAGACTTCCTGTCTCTGGAACTTCTCTTGAGTTTTTTCCCCCCTCCTTTGCTGGTACTTTGCTTGTGTGGAGTGACCATTCAAAGTTACAATGGCACTGAAAAAAGTGACTTATGACCGTTTTTCACACTTACGACAGTTGCAGCATCCCCGCAGTCATGAGAGGCCAGGCGAGGAGATGCGTGCCTCGATGTGAGTGATATTGAGTTGGCCACACCCAGCTAATAACATGACCACCAAGCCATGTCCACCCAGTCACATGACCACCAAGCCACGCCTACCACCTAAGCCACACCCACAGAACCGGTTGTTAAAATTTTTGAATCCCACCCCTGGTGGTAGGGATCTATGGCAATTTAATCATTCAGATTCCAAGCAACTGCAATCAAGGCATGAATAACTGTGGTTAAATACTGCTCTGACCTAGGCTTCACAAAATCATGAAGCAGGCTGCTTGTCCCAACAAAACCACTTTTATTTAGGCTAATGTGAATTCTTCTCGTTCACATCCAGCAGAGTCCCGGCAAATAGTCTTCCAAGAGCGATTTACAATCACAGACCTTATCGGGCTTGGAGAGTTGCCAGGCCGATTGCTCCCAAGTGCAACGCTGTTGCAGAAAATACTTGGCAAGGAGTCAAGAACAAATCTTCGCCCTCATTAAATGAACTAATTGTCTCCTGCAAACACCACTCCCCTTTCGCTCATCTTTATTCCCTATGGGAGGGGCCATTTAGCATCCAGCTGTGCCTTTACTCCTGAGTTGACCCTTGTTCCTTAACTGTTCCCTTCTCCTGGCAGCTCTGCACATGTGCACATTGGGAACAGGCTCCAGCTGTTCTTCTGCCCCGCTGATCTCTGACTCCGAAGGCAGCTGATAACTGTCAGACGGCCCTGTCCCCATCTCTGCCTCTGAGGCAGAGCACTCATCAAAGCCTTGTCCGGACTCCAAGATTAGCCCATGTTCCTCCCCAACCTCCTTACTGTCTGAATCTGCTGCCAGCTCTGCTGGCTGCTGGCAGGCCACAACAGATACAATGAAATCAGGATTGGGGGGGGATTCTACTGGTTCCGACTGGTTCTATAGAACTGGTTGTTATGATTCTGTGCAGTTCAGAGAACCAGCAAATTGTGCCCCTGGCTGGCTCCTCCCCTCTCTGCCACCCCTCCCCTCCCCGTCAGTCCTTATTGCACATGTGCGACATTGCTGATTGCATTCTCCCCTATCCAGTCACTCCTTAAAGTATTTCTTTTCCTCCCTCCCAACGATCAGCTGTTCCGACAATCAGCTGTGCTAGTATCCCCCTTGCTGTCTTACTGCTTCGCCCAGGAGGCTTCCCTGAGGCCCAGGAGGAAAAATAAAAAGGTTCGCGGGAGGGGGCCTGCAAACAAAAGCCATGCCCAACCAGTCACATGGCCACACCCCTCTAGCCACACCCATCTAGCCACGCCCACAGAACTGGTTGTTAAAAAATTTGAATCCTACCCTGGATCAATAAGAATAATCCCAAAGGCGCTTTCCCAAAAGGTAACTGGACTTTCTTGGGTTTTGTTTCCTGGAAAATGTTTCAATGAAATCACTGATAATAATCACTAGTAATATCTCACTCTAGAGCTCCAAGTGACTTTATCCCGTAGATATTAAAACACCATAAGGACACCAACAGGAAATGAGTTAAGGGCTGAGCAGTAGTTCACCCAGAATCACCTTCTGGTCATATCCCAAAACCAGAATTATTATAAAACATGCTCCTGAAGTCAAAAGACAACGAAGTGTATCCAAGTCACTAATATGGAAAGCTGCTGGGATATGCAATAACCCTTAAACCACATTTCTTCCATTTAGCTTTTTTGGGAAAGGGCGTTGGTACTTACCTGATACTCCCGTTCTCTGTGAGCTGTGAAGAGCATCCAGAAGTGGGAGGTGCTTCAGTCTCTTCTGGAAAGGCTGGGCTTAAAACTCTGGGACGCTCCTCCTCCTCCTCCACGGGACACCTCCTCAGCGTCCCCCAGTTTTGCAAAGACTGAGTGCCAAAGTCCGGAACTCATCACCTAATCTGGATCCCTGACTGGAACGGAACCTCCCAGATGGAAAGAAATGGGTGGGGCTGGATGCTCTTCACAGCTCACAGGCAGGCTCCGCTAGTTACAAAGAAACTGTTTTTAAACTGATCGAGGCAACCTAATAGAGGCACAAGCCTGAAAAAAAGCCAAATTAAATGGGGAAGATTTTTACAAGCCGAAATAACCCAAGAGCAAACCTGAATCAGAAAACCGTTCCAGTCAGGGAGTGCACAACCTCTTACCATGAAGGCTGAGATAAAACTGCGGGACGCTGAGGAGGTGTCCCGTGGAGGAGGAGGAGGAGCGTCCCAGAGTTTTAAGCCCAGTCTTTCCAGAAGAGACTGAAGCACCTCCCACTTCTGGATGCTCTGAACAGCTCATGGGAGAATGGGGCTATTCCATCAAAATGACAAAGCAAAATCAGTACTACAGCTAGTCCTCGACTTATAGCAATGTCAATAGCACTTAGATATATACGGCTCCACAGTGCTTTCCAGCCCTCTCTAATCGGTTTACAGAGAGCCTTTTGTCCCCAACAATTTGGGTCCTCATATTACTGACCTCGGAAGGACGGAAGGCTGAGTCAACCTGGGGCCTGGTAGGATTCAATCTGCCAAATTGCAGTAGGAGTAGCTTGCACTCTAACCACTGCGCCACCGAGGCTCCTTTATGACCACAATGGGCCCAAAATTTCCATTGCCAAATACGATGGTTAACTGAATTTTGCCTCATTTCACTACCTGACTTTGCCACAGTTGTTAAGTGAATCTCTGCAGTTGTTAAGTTAGCCACCCGGTTGTTAAGCGAATCTGGTTTCTCCATTGACTTTGATTGACAATAGGTCACAAAAGGGGATCACACGATCTGCAGACCTTGCAACTGTCATAAATAGGAGTCAGTTAACAAGAGTCTGAATTTTGATCATAAGGTTGCTGCAGCAGTTGTAAGCGTGAAATATAGTCACAATTTGCTTTTTTTCAGCATTGTTGTAACTTCGAATGGTCACTAAATGAATGATTGTAAGTTGAGGACTACCCCAACTTGCAACCTATCTCAGATGAAACCCCAATTTAAATGACTGCAGAAGGTCAGTTTCATCCAGTTTTACTTGAACTTACAATGTAATATTTGAGACCAGACTACAGTATAATTATAAAGTTGTTCTCAATTGAAGGCAGGGATTTTTTCCCCTAAAAATAAAGGGAAGAACATAAGGGAGTTCAACTTCTTGATTTTTTAAAAAAATTATTGCCATTGCTTTTAATAAATTTACTTTGAGAAGGATTGAAGCTGGATTCCATCCTAATGCTTCAGGCTAAGATTCACCATGAAGTAGCTCCCATCTTTTTCCCATTACGCTAAAAATTAAATTACTGTACAGTATCCAGAATAGTAACCATGGAAGAATAAATTGATGCAAAACAAGAGACATCATTATTTTGTGTTGTTTTGCATTGTTTTTTTTTTAATTTTTTCTCCTTTTCCCCTTCTCATTATACGTTCTTCCCATTTCTTTTAGCTAGGTTGATCTTCATAACATTTGTCTTATTAGGGTTTCGCAGAGTTCTATCTTTTAATATTATAAGTCATGCAGGGTTTCTGTGTGGCAAAAAAAGGCAGCTAATAAAAGTTACAAATAAAATAATAAAATAAATAATAAGTTAACATTTTGTGATAGACTTGGTGATTTTTTCCGGGTTTTTTCCCCCCAAGGACCAGCAGGAAATAGATTTCATAGAATAACAGAGTTGGAAGGGACCTTGAAGGTCATCTAGTCCAACCCCCTGCTTGAGCAGGAAAGTCTATTCCAAATATTAGCCTCTATTTAGGATTGAACTCACAGCCTCCCGATTGTGAGGTGAGAGCAACCTCCTGCTTAATCAGGAAACCATTTCAGACAAATAGTTGTTTAATCTCTTCTTAAAATCCTCCAGTGTTGGAGCACCCACAGCTTCTGAAGGCAAGTCATTTCACTGATTAATTGTTCTGTAAAGAAATTTCTCCTTAGTTCTAGGTTGCTTCTCTCCTTGATTAGTTTCCACCCATTGCTTCTTCTCCTGCCTTCAGGTGCTTTAGAGAATAGCTTGACTCCCTCTTCTTCATGGCAACCTTTTAGATATTGGAACACTGCTATCATGTCATCATTAGTAGAATAGAATAGAATAGAATGGAATAGAATAGAATAGAATAGAGTAGAGTAGAGTAGAGTAGAGTAGAGTAGAGTAGAGTAGAGTAGAGTAGAGTAGAGTAGAATAGAATAACAGAGTTGGAAGCAACCTTGGAGACAGGGGTGGGATTCAAATTTTTTAACAAGTGGTTCTGTGGGCGTGGCTTAGGTGGTGGGCATGGTTTGGTGGTCATATGACTGGCTGGGCATGGTCAACTCAACATCACTCAAATCGAGGCACGCATCTCCTCGCCTGGCTTCTCATGACTGTGGAGATGCTGCAACAGTCATAAGTGTGAAAAACGGTCATAAATTACTTTTTTTAGTGCCATTGTAACTTTGAATGGTCACTCCACACAAGCAAAGTACCAGCAAAGGAGGGGGGGAAAAAACTCCAGAGAAGTTCCAGAGACAGGAAGTCTAGTCCTGCCAAGAATGCAATAAGGGTCAATGGAGAGGCAGTTTCTGTAAGCGACACCAGAATGTTTCCTTCCTGCCTTCCTTACAGGATTAGGCCAATAATTTCTTCTAACAACCGGTTATCTGAACTGCTTAGAATGTTAACAACCGGTTCTAGCGAATAGGTGTGAACCTGTAGAATGCCACCCTTGCTTGGAGGTCTTCTAGTCCAACCCATGTTTAGGCAGAAAACCCTAGACCACAGCTGTTAAACTCAAGGCCTGGGAGCAAGATTCAGCCCACGGGGTACTTAGATCTGGACTTTGGGGCCGTCCTGGAAACAGTGAAGGACTGACCCGTGGGGCCTCTGCCAGTGAAAATGGACCTCCGTTTTTGCTGGCAGAGGATTACAGAAGGCCGTTGTAGCTGAAAACGGAGCTTGAGAGCCCGTTTTTGCTGGCAGGGCACTTGGGCCACTGCAGGTGCCCCTGACATGAATGACATCGAACCTAGTCACACCCAACCTGGCCAGGGTGGCCCACAATGAAATCGGGTTTGACACCCCTGCCCTTGGCCAGGGATCGGCAACATTCAAAGAGCCACAAAGGTCCTAACTGGAAACCCCCATTTAATTTCTGGAGCCGACCAGACTTTATGGCGGTTCCCCCACCATAGAGTCTCCTCCTAGCACTGTGTCATTTTTCCTCTACCTGTCCTAACCAAAAGCCCTATCAATTGTGGAGCTGACCAGCAACAGAGAGCTGCAGTAGAGGGATGAAAGAGCCACATGCGGCTCCAGAGCTGCAGGTTGCTGACTCCTGCCCTAGAACCATTGCAGACAAACAGTTGTCCAATCTCTTCTTAAAAACTTCCAGTGTCGGAGCATTCACAACTTCTGGAGGCAAGTTGTTCCCCTGATTAATTGTTCTAACTCATTCTTCTTTCCATTAAATTAGACGTACCCAGTTCCAACAACTGTTCTCTATAAGTTTTAGGGAGGAAGGGTGTGCACTTCCTTTTACAAATGCTGTAGGGAACATTTAATATACATTTAAAAAAAGATCCTACAGTTCTTTTAAAAGTTCAAAAGCGTCTGCCACGTTTACAGCATGGAGAAGAATATTGGGTCAAAGAGGAGACTATGAGAGGTCATGTCATAATAACTGTGCAAGGAAGTCCTTATCTATGTGGGAAAATGTCTGAATACAGTGGGGATAAGCTGGGGTCAGTTTACTATTTCTGTTGGATGGATACCTTCACAGGAACTCGAAACAAAGCTAGCATAGAAATTTTTGAGACTGATCTGGGAACAGCTAGACTCCTATGACAAAATGCGTGGTGAGATGCCAGCGAATTGATAGTTTCTCCACAAACACAGAAGGCAGCCAATGAGAGAAACCCAAAGGCTCAAAATCCAAGTGTTGTGGCCTGTTGGCTGCTGGCCCCTCCAGCAGCCAAATCAAATGAGTAGGAGGCATGGGAGTCAGGGTCAGCATCAGGGCAACCTGAGAGCTCCAAGGGGGAAGAGGGAATGGAGCTGGCAGAGAGAGAAAGAGACAGAGGCAGAGCCTGGGCCATCCGTCAGCCCTCAGATGGAGAGTCAAGAGCCTCCAGGTCTGGAGGTGGCTGATGAGGAAGAGGAAGAACAGCTGGTTCCAGTGCCCGATGCACGGATATGCAGAAGACAGAGGAGAGGAGAGCAGTGGAAATCTATGGGCCGGTCCTTGGAATGGAAGGGCCACTGCTGCTAGTGAGGCCCCACCCCAGCTCTGTGGATAAAAGGCAGGGGGCAGAGACGAATAGATATGGCAGACAACTATTAATCTTCCAGCTGGATGGACTTATTAGTCTGCGAGAGAAACTATTTGTTGGGGCTGCCGGTGCTACAAATAAAGGAATCTTTTGAGTTCACGTCAGAATGTTTGTCGTGTTTGGGGAGTTGGGTCAGAACACCAAATTTCAGAGCATCTAGTTCCAACCATAAGATTTATGCAGGCATCCCCAGCTCACTTCTGCTCACTTGTCTAGATCATTGGATTTGGTCTCGTAGCTTTTCAGGACCCGTAGAACTTGTACATCTTGGCTCAGGAAGCAAGGCGGAAGAAGACCGTGTATTCCCAGCTGGAGCCTCTCTTGAAGGGTGAAGGCCATACCCTAAGACAGAAGAGAGGATGGGTGTGTTAAAACAACAGAACAGAACCACTCTCTTAAAAGGAAAAAAAAAGTATTAACGGTAGTCCTTAACTCGCGACCAAAACTGAATGCAAAATTTATGTTAAGTTGTTCAGTTAGTTTTTGCCTCATTTTATGACCTTTTTTGCCACGGTGGTTAAGTGAATCACTGCAGTTGTTAAGTCAGTAACACGGTTGTTAAGTGAATCTGGCTCCTCCATTGACTTGGTTTGTCAGAATGTCGCAAAAGGGGATCACATGACCCTGGGACACTGGAATTGTCATAAGTATGAACCAGTTCCAAGCTGTTCTGACCAAGGCTTCCTGAGGCACCAACAAACACACATAAAATCCAAAACCCTTTTATTTTAGTTCAATGGCTGTGAATGATCATCATTCACAGCCTGGAATGAGTCTTAACCAGTTATAAGTAGTCCCAGGGACGTCCGTCAAAGTCCTTCAGGAGAAGTCTGATAAGAACGCACCTTTATCTGACTTGAAGTGCTGCCAATGACTAAAGTCCCAATTAGTCTTTCAAAACCAAACAGAGAACAAATTCACCACAGAGCTTTCAGACTCCAAAACAATCAGAGTGAAAAACATTGCTTCCTGCAAAGGTTTCTCTACCTTTGCACTTCTTTTATACCTTATGGGCAGGGCAATCACCTCCAAACCTTACTCCCAAGTTGCCCCCTTTGTCTCTTTACTCTCGCCTTCTAACAGCTCTGTGCACATGCACACTGGGAACAGGCTCCCCTGGGTCCTCTGCCTTGCTGCTGCCAGACTTCGGAGGCTCTGGAGTCAGCACATAACTGCCACATGGTCCTGGCCCCACCTCTGTATCGGACGCAGGTCCATCGTCCAAATCCTCTCCAGACTCCCAGACTGGTCCTTGTTCTTTCCCACTGTCAGATTCTGCTGCCGTCTGCACAGGCTGCCAGCGAACCACAACACAAGCATCCAAATGTTGATCGTATGACCAACGGAGATGCTGCAATGGTCATGCGATAAATCACCCTTTTCAGTGCCGTTGTAACTTTGAACAGTCACTAAATGAATCTTTGTAAGCCGAGGACTAGCTGTATTAGCTTTCTAAATTGATAAACTTTCTCAAAGAAAGACATGTTGCAAAGAGCAGTAGCTCAATTGATCTCACCTTCCAAGTTCACTTTGAACTTGCAGTTGTGCAGAAGATCAATTTTAAAGCAAAGTAGCTGAACACAGAGCAACAATGATGTTCTGTCGCTACTGTTCACTAATTTACAGTCTAGGAAAACGTGATTTAAGCAACCCAGCAACTTGGTGCAGCAAACATACAGCGCAGAATGTAGGAACATTAGCAGAATGACATCCCAGGACTCCCTGCTGAAAATTCCCACTGCTGCTTCTACAATAAATTTAGATTGTTAAAAAGCAATCTGGTGATTGATCCTAAGCTAGTGCAATTTTAAATGCCTTTAATCCATAATTGTGCTCCCTGTGTCAGTCAATGTGTTTTTCAGATTTAAGTGAATCTTGCCAAGCGATCACTTTGTCCATTATTTATTTCACTTAGTTTATTTATTTGTATCCTGCCTTTATTATTTTGACAACTAACTCAAGGCGACGGACATATCCAATACGCCTTCCTCCTCCTATTTTCCGCACAACAACCCTGCAGGGTGTATTGGGCTGAGGGAGAAGAAATGGCTCAAAGTCACCTAACTGGCTTTCGCGTCTAACGCGGGACTAGAACTCACCGTCTCCTAGTGATTGGCCCAAAGTCACCTAGCTGCCTTTCATGGCTAAGGCGGGATTAAAACTTACATCTCCTGGCCAAAAGTCACCCAGCTGGCTTTGATGGCTAAGGTGAGACTTGAACTCACGGTTTCCTGCTTTCTAGCCTGGTGCCTTAAACACCAAGCCAACCTGCTCTCTTTCTCTTTCCAACAATACAAAGTGAGGTGCATCTGGAAATGCTAAAATTTAAGTCCCATTCACAGATTCATTCTCTATTCTATTGCTCTCGTCTTTGATTAAAAAGCCTAAGAGTGCCATCACTCAACAGATGATTGTGAGTAAGTTATGACGGTGAAGGGAATATGGGAATGAAGATGTGGAAATGGGATTTGGAGTATGCATAGTTACCCACCTCACGTCAATTGGCATACCCTGACACCAAATGTGTCCATTTCGTGCACTACGCAATTGTGTAAGCTGGGAAAAGCTATAATTTCTGTAAGACGATGCCAACATACACTCCAAAGCATATTTTATTCTTGGAATTTGGATTGCAGCACAGCTCCAGGGGGTAATAAAATTAGAAATGAGATAAAACCGAGGAAAATGTATATATATTGTGCTTCTATGTTAATAGCAAAGATTTTTTTTTTTTTTAAAAAGACATCGAAAATATTTCCAAGGAACAGAAAGGAAAGCCAAGGCTGAATAAAAAAAATATTTTTGTCCAACTCGCCCCAATATATCTCCACATGCTATTTAAGATAGCTGAATTTGTTTGCTGTTATGTGGGAGCCATGAGTCACCCATCCTCCCTTGGAGACTTTCAAAATGGGATATTTTACATAATGCGTGCATTTTGGGTTTTTTTGATTCTCCCCGTTGCAATAACTTAAATGAAAACAACATTATTTTTGACAGGACCGTCTCTAATCCGCTCTATTTAGTCATTGCAATGGCTCCGAGAAAGATTTGGGATCACTGAAATCTGCCAGGAAAGCAATTTCCTTCTTCCAATGACCAGGAAATGCAAAAAGTTACTGAAGATGCTAGAGTTTTTGCCAAACGTAAGCGAAAGGTAAGCCAGGAACTCCACAGTACAGTCATCAATATTCATTTGCTTCAGCGATATGCAGGATTTGACAAGTCAGTCAAACAGCTCAGGGAAAGGAACGTCTGCAGGATTTCTGGAATTCTCTCCAGCTCCTTAACACAGGTAAATCCTCGACTTACGACCCCAACTAAGGTAAAAAAATTTCCTTTGCAAAGCAAGGCGGTTGTTAAATGAGTTTTGCCCCATTTTACGACCTTTTTGTCACAGTTGTTAAGCGAATCATTGCAGTTGATCATGAATCATGCAGTCATTAAGTGAATCTGGATTCCTCTCATCATCAGAAACAAGCTAACAAGGTTACAAATAGTGATCACTGGATCCCAGGACAGTGCAATGGTCAAAAGTACATGCCAGTGGCCAAGTGTCCGAATTTTGATCACATTCCCATGGAAATGCTGCAAACGATCGTAAGTGTGAGAACTGGTCCTAAGTCCCCTTTTTTTAGTTCGTTGTATATCTGAACAATCATTAAATGAACGATTGTAAGTCGAGAACTCCCTGAAAATACCTTGCTCTACTTTATACAATCAGAAAAGAAATTGTTAGGGAATTGGAATGAAAGACATGCTGATATTGTCAAGGTTTCAAGCAGAGGTGGCATTCAGCAGGTCCTGACCAGCTCTGGAGAACCGGTAGCAGAAATTTTGAGTAGTTCGGAGAATTGGCAAATACCACCTCTGACTTGAGATTTTACCGTGCCCACCAAGCCACGCCCACAGAACCAGTACTAAAGATTTTTGAAACCACTGGTTTCAAGTAACATACCCATAGCAAACAAAACCATGGAGCACACAATTTCCTCAAAGAATAGGTTTATTGGATATGTCATATTGGCCCAGGCTGGTAAAAATGGATACTGAATATTCCCGTGGTTTTTACCTAATTAAAAGTAAAAGTTTATCACTTTCTCAAAACAATCAACCACATGGTCCAATCAGGATACTGTCCAGTTGCTAGGTGACTCCAGTCCCCTCCTTCTGGGCACCTGCAGGAATGTCCTTGGTTCCCAAGAGAAAGCATTTTGTTTTGACTACAACACCTGAACTATCTCTATTCATCCCTGCCTGTCTCTCTTCTCCAGTGTGTCAGCACGGAAGTCTCAAAATGGCCTCAGCTAGGCCAGCTTCAGGGTTGACAGATATATTAAGCCACTGGCTATTTGCCTCTCCCTTAAGTATCCGTTGAAGGAATTAATTTTGGAATATTTTCCTCTGTAGATCCTAACCCTTTTTGAACTCAATCATTCTATCGCAGCTTCACTGCCCCAACTCACCAGAATAGTTTATGGAAATAAAAAGCTTGGGCAAATAAACAGAGAAAACCCCATATTGCTTGAGGAATTTTCTTTCCTATATTCCAGAGGTTTGGAAAGAATAACAAAGTATGGAAAAAGCATGCAGAACGTGGCTTGTGGGATCCTTTCCAAGCCATTTTCCAATAGCTACATGGGTGGGACTTTCTCTTGATGGATGACCTGTCTGCTAAATCAGATGCCAGCAAGGATTCCCTTGTGTCTACAGGTAGTCCTTGACTTAGGACAACGACTGAGCCCAAAATTTCTGTTGCTAAGCAGGACAGTTGTTAAGTGAGGTTCGTCCCATTTTACAAACTTTCTTGCCACAGTTCTTAGGCGAATCACTGTTAGTAACACGTTTGTTAAGTGAATCGTGTCATTTTTTTTAGTCCATTGTAAGTTCGAACAGCCACTAAACGAATCATTGTAAATCGAGGTTTACCTGCATTTGCCATCCTTCAACTATTGTATTGGATGCAGTATTCTAAGACCACGCTTATAATACTGCATCCACTTTCGGTCCCCACAATATAAAAAAAATGTTGATCCTCTTGAAAGAAAAGAGAGAAATGGAGAGAAGAGAAGAGAAGAGAAGAGAAGAGAAGAGAAGAGAAGAGAAGAGAAGAGAAGAGCAACAAAGATGATTAAGGGGCTGAAGGTCAAAACATATGAAGAACTGTTGGAAGAAATATCATTCTGGGTTCAGTTCCAAGTGGGGAAAAAGACACTGGAAACATGGAGGCTGTTTGGAAAGATGGTTTAATGGTGGACAGGACCACATGGCTTGGAGCTCCGAAGTGAAAAGGATGATCACATGCTTCAAGATATTGGGTGAAGGAAAAGAAGAGAGGGCTG